AAGAGTTTTGTCAATATATCTTATAAATAAAAGATTTGTCATCGGCGGTATTGAAAGTATTCAACAAGATTAGTACAATTGGTTCGATCATATACATTTCGTGAAACATTTTTTTTCCGACAAATATATAGTAATTAACAAACCGAATCAAATAACTTATGAATCTTTCAACACAGAAGAGAAGGAAGAAGAAAATAGGGGACAACGAAACACAAAGACAATAAAGAGAAACATAAACTTAATAAGTAAGTCGTTGAATTCGACCAAATTAACCCGAGAGCTTTTCTCTCAGCATCTGATCTCCTTCAAACCATGTGCGAAGTACCAAAAGGTTGGGTTAGTTGCACCTTCCTTGTAGTAACAAAAGACCAAAATGCCTTCATCGTGCATCTCTTCTCCTGCAAAGAATTGGAGATCAACGAGCTTGGAGACCAAAAAATTGGTAGCTCCTTCAATACCTTTCTTGAAGGCTTTTTCCTGTTCTGCATCGAGATTTGGTATCAAAAGCTCGATGTATTTCTTCACATAAGCAATGAATGTCTTCTTGTCGAAGGATGGTTGTTCTTGAAGTCTATATGTGTCGACAATGTCAATAACCTTTACAGCTTGGTCATGAACACTCTCATCCTCACCACCTACTTCCGCGGATGGATTGGCACCAATGTTAACATCTAGAGCTCCCAAGACAATCCATTTTCCTGAGTCAGACAAAAGCTCATCACCGGTGAGAAGGTCCTGATACACCAACATGGTCGCTTATTATGTTTTTCTCTACAATCGATGGGAATAATTAACAAATATAGAGGTTGCGGGAGAGATACGGCCGTATCGAAGTATTCAAATCAAGATTAGTTCAATTGTTTCCATCATTATCAACATATACCATTTCTTGAAACAATCTACGAAATATGCATATAGCACTATTTGATTTATATTTTGAATAGTTTTCTTCTTTTCGGTTTAATAATCTATAAAATCTTTTGAAGTAAACATTTTTAAAACCGAATTTAATATGTCATCTTGGTGACTTTCTACACCTTATTGTACTTTAAATAGTTTTCTATTTAATATGTCATTTTCAAAAGATATTTTAAAACAAAACCTCGATAACTGTTCAAAGTTTCTAACACTTGACTTTGAAACAAGATAGAACCATTTGTCACCTCTGCCTATATAGAACCATTCGTCCGCCAACCCTCTATTTTTCTAGGAGAAAAAGTAAAGACTAAAACAAAAAAGCATGAATTTGGGAAAATCAATGGAGAAGCATAACGATGTTGTGGTAAAACTAGCTAAGCATGTCATCACTACCGTCGCAAAGGACTCCAACCTTGTGTTCTCACCAACGTCAATCAACGTTTTGCTCAGCCTCATCGCCGCTGGTTCGAATTCCTCCTCCAAAGAACAAATTCTCTCATTTCTCATGTCACCATCAACTGATCACCTCAACGGAATCTTGACCAAGATCGTATCTATTGCCCTCTCCGAAGGCAGCGAGAGAAGTGATTTGTGCTTATCTACGGCTAATGGTGTCTGGATCAACAACTCTGTACCTTTGAAAACTTATTTTAAAGAGCTTTTAGAGAACTCCTACAAAGCCACTTGCAGTCAAGTTGACTTCGCAAATAAGGTAACTCCTCTCAAAACTAATTATGTCCCTCGGTTCCAAGATATTTAATTTGTCATTTTAAAAGATTTTTTTCAAAATAAGTATATATCGATTTAAGTTAGATGTACGTTTTTGTTACAACTTTCTATTTTCACGCTAATCAAAATTAATGAACTAAATAGAATTTCAAGAATCACATGTTTTTTGTAAAGGCATAATTCAGTTAGTCTTTTAATTTGTGTAAAAAATGTGAAGACGATACTTATATTAAAACACGGAGAGTATAAATTAGTAGATTGAACCATGCCTTTTTATATGATGTGAGATTCCTATGGTTAACGTTGCAATTTTCTCGTTGTGTGAATTGTGTTTATTACATTGTGGAATGATTGGCCAATTGGTTGATTGGTTTTTGTAAGCCTGCTGAAGTGATTGATGAAGTGAATACATGGGCTAAAGTACACACCAACGGACTCATTGAGGAGATTCTTTCACGCGATTCTATCGAGGATATCCGTTGCAGCACACTCATACTTGCAAATGCAGTGTACTTCAAAGGAGCTTGGAGGGAAAAATTTGATGCAAAATTGACAAAAGATAACGAGTTTCACCTTCTTGAAGGCACCTCAGTGAAAGTGCCCTTCATGACCAGTTACAAGGATCAATACTTAAGAAGATATGATGGTTTCCAAGTTTTGCGGCTCCCTTACGTAGAAGATCAACGTCAATTCTCCATGTATATCTATCTTCCTAAAGATAAAGATGGATTACCTGCTCTGCTTGAAAAATTAGGCTCCGAGCCACGGTTTCTTGATAACCATATTCCACTCCACGATATAGAAGTGGGTGTCATCAAAATTCCAAAGTTTAAGTTCTCTTTCGAGTTTAAAGCTTCAGATGTTTTGAAGGATATGGGGCTGATTTCACCATTTACTTCTGGAGGTAATCTGACTGAGATGGTCGATGCGCCTGCCATCGGTGAAAAGCTATACGTCTCAAGCATTCTTCATAAAGCTTGCATTGAGGTGGATGAAGAAGGAACCGAAGCTGCAGCCATCTCTATTGGCATCATGATGCCCTTGTGTTTGAGGCGAAATCCAGATTTCATAGCTGACCATCCATTTCTATTCACGGTGAGAGAAGACAAGAGTGGAGTGATCTTGTTCATGGGTCAAGTTCTTGATCCTTCAAAACATTGATTGAACTTGGTCGTGGTGTGGGAAAAAACATTAAGCAATAATACGTTTGTTGTATCTTGTATGTATTCCTGATTTGTAAAAAGACCCCTGTATTTGTTTATTCCTTTTTTACTGGTTTATGTCTAACAATAAAAGCTTATTCTTGAGTACTCTCATGTGATTGGTAGTATACGTCTTATGGTAGTTTAAGTCTCAAAATCTCAATTCTTCTTAAAAACCGTCGTTTCGTCAAACACGGCTTTATTGCTTTCTACATATACATTAAAGAAATTTTACTTCATTAACTAGATCAATTCAATAATTCATCGCCCACGATTGTGATCCATGAACTTATACGCTC